AATGTCCCCTAAGCATTGAAACCGCGATCGTGAATCGATTCCTCCTAAACCGCGAAACTCTGTCCTAAAATGGGCGAAACTCTCCCTCCCCCTTTCGAGGTTATTTGTGCCCATAATTATGAAAGTGGTCTAAGTCAAAATTAAAAAAAAAAATGAGTTTATCAATTATTTCACGCCATATTATGTCAAACGAAATTAATTCAATGTAATTTCGAAACAAAAAATATATGACTTAGACCACTTTCATAATTATGGGCACATTTCATTCCTGGCCCTTCCGATGGCCATCGGCAAAGAATTCAGAAGTCCCATAGAATCCCAGATGCTATGTTAGCGCTTGATGCTCCAAAAGTTGGCTAACAAACCAGAAGAGGGAGTAAAAGAGAGGTAGTATGTGTTAGTAAACGATATCTCACATACGGGAGGAAGAGAGACGCACATAGAAAAATGAGTATTATGGGTAATATAAAGAAAGAATGTAATTCGCCATATATCGCCATAAGATCAACCCCTTAACTTGTGCTAAAAAAGCCAAACTGTGCACACTCGAGATAATTCCAGCGGCGTTGTACTTTATGCTACTATAATTTTTCACCCTCGAATATAATCGAGAATTTTATTTCTTTGCCAAGACAATGTTCTAGTGTTTTTTTTTACATAAAAAAATTGATTTATTTGGCTGGTTTTTTTATAAATATCTGTGCGTTAAGGGGTTAAGAGAGATGGAGATGATTACAGCGCCGCCATCCGCTGGCTAACGTACTATTTGTCAAGCATCGAACGTCCGTATCTTTCTGGGCTTCTACGGAGACTTCTGATTTCTTTGCCATCGGTGGAGGGCCCAAGGACCATCGAATTTCTACGTATTCCTGGTCAATTCTATTAGACGGAGAGGGGAACGAGAGGACTTCGCGAAAATGATACAAGTTCATTTCTCGAGTCCATGTGGATATTACAAGAGTGGACACCTCTGCCACAACGATCTTAAAGCCACAGACCGGAGTTCAACGCGCAAACCAGCTTCACGCTTTAACCCTTTTCGCTGGCTCTTTTATATACATATGTATATATAGATATATGTAAAATAGAATTTTCGTTTAGAGAAAGAAGATCACGCCTCGCTATATACGACATGCCGGGAGAACGAGTCGTTATAAAATTATTATCGGTTACTACTCCATTAATCTAGGCTTCAGTTTAGTATGGCACCAATGGTCAGCTCAATAATCGTTCCTTCGAGAGTATGCAGTTGTGATCTCAATTGCTAGAAAGAAAAGAAGACAGAGAGAGAGACGGTAGACCTCGGCCCACTGTACTCGGCAGCAACGTTCTTCTCTGTGTACGCGTGTTGACGTATATGTGCATGTCTCGTGTACGAGTATGTGCGGTACTCGTTTCTCCCCCGTTAAGGTGAAGTGAAACACGTCGAGGGACTTGTTCGACGTCGGAAAAAAACGTTCTTGAATTTCGCCCATGATAACTGCATATAACCCCTCAAGAAAGGTATACACTGGGAGACATCAATGCCCTCCCATCCTGCACAGGCGATGCCGTATCTGCAGGGGAGGCATTCATGTCCGCCATTGTACAATCGTTTCCGAGTACAAGAATCCCCTTAGGCAACGTCAAATTCATCTAACCTGCGGAACACAAAGTGAAAACTTAAGGTGTAACACCCGAACACTCTACCCACTGGTACTCTAATGGCGTCGTACCGACGCGCGTCTACGATTTTAGTAAATCATGTGAGAAATGTCAGTCTGTATTGTGGCACTTCTCAGTAGCGTTCAATGACGTCTTTCTCCCCGCATACTTCGTTTGAAAAAAGCCGATCGACTGATCACAGCACTGGATATTGTCGCATCACCGCGTTCAATGTACACAAATAGGCCCTTCCTCATATCTCACTTTAAGCAGCGCTTTTAAACGTCTTTTAGTTAATGACCGGACCGCTGCTAAAAGACGCCATACTCATACCTTCATTTATGACCGCTTTTCGTTAAAAGATCGCCTTTACGAATTGTAATATGAAAACGTTGGAAAACTGTGACGACCGCGTCCTCCGCATGTGCGTTTTTTTGCATGCCAAAAGTTTAGAATCTGCTAAACTTTGCCGCAAAAATGGAAAGCGAATTTTACGGAATAAAGCCGCAACCAAAGCCGAATTTCTTGGTTAGCCGAGATCAAAATAAATTCGACTTGAAAAATCCCCGATATTTATTTGAAGCCCTGTATTCGCTTCGCGAGTTTTTCCTCTGAAACAAAATGTCGTTAATGCATTCCACTTTTCATGTACGATTTCGACACCTAAAGGCGCTCAAAAAGAAACTTAAAAGGGGGTATGAGGAGACATTGCTGCTAAAAAACATCTTTTCTGGCTTCTTCTAAGGATTTTCTATAAAAGTGGTTTAAAAGCGAGACACGAGTAGGGTCGCTTATATAACAGTGCTCTAAAATACGTTTTTTAACGCTAAAAGTGAGATACGAGTAAGGACCATAGTCTTTGCTTCCGCTATTTGAAGTTACTACGGCCAATCGGTGTTAGGCTGATTAGATGTTTCGGTCGTGACACGACGGGGCACCGAATGGGCAATGAGAACGATTCAAGAACGACGCCAATAAGATTTCTTCCGTTTACTTGACACGAACAGATTCGAAATCCTTTTATGTACAATCAGGGTGCAGGCAGCCTATCGATTTAATTCAACATCTTCCAAAGGATACTGGTTAGCCATTTTTGTACCATCGTCTGGAAACATGGAATATGGCAGTATCAAGTTTTAAGCCGTGGCAAGTACATTTCGTGAGAAGACCAGTACCTCAATTGCTCGTACGTGCTACGAACGACGTACCGAGCAAGTGTATCCTCTAAAGAATGGAAAAAACGACGTGGAATTCCGCCGGCATTTCCTGCTCGAGTGTGTTTCGAGACTACCTAATTCCCGGATCGACGCCCAACAGGAGAACCGTAATAAAAAACTTGTCAATTTACTTTCGACATTTACAGACACCCTTAAGATTAAAGTAAAAAATCGATTAAAACAACGCTCTCGACGGCCCCGGAAGGATAGTCGGAATAAAAATCACGGTGACGGATGCATAACGCTTTGGGACTATAACTATGTAATAAAAAGACCGGCTCGAGTATACGCGCACTTATACGAGTTGCGTCTTACCAACTAATCGACCAAACTTAACAACGAATGATAAAAGGCCGATGTATCCTTCTAAAATTACTAATCATTCCGTTGGAACGACGCTGTTCATGCTACCAGTGGAACGAGTATGCGTTCGTCAAACTAATATTCTTATTAAACGGACATTGGGTTTATTAGTACGGCGCCACTAATGGTAAATGCTTCGCTTTTATCGTAGTATTCAAAATCAAATTAGGTAACAAAAATGCACGCAAAACTTCAAACGTATTATTGAAATTCTTATCGGATATGAGAACTTAAGAGAACTAAAGAGTCAGCCTATATATATCTGAAAAGTCAAATCGTTAGTGACAGTATTCTCCAAACTGGGTGCACCGATTTGTTTCAAATTTCATCACGAGAATATGGAGGCCCTAAACTAGGTCCTGATACTTATGAAATTTCATTTTTCATCCAAAATTTATTTGGTGTGGTCTGTGCACATGTTTTACGCTTCTTGGAGGCTTAGAATAAAAAATGAACAGTTTTAGAATGTAGCTCGAACAATTTAGAATACCGTAGAAATGGAATATTACAGAGTCAGATGGGAAAATGTGGTAAGTACTTTCACCAACGATTACAAGAGAATGCTGGCTTGTCCTGCGGCTAGCACGTGTTTTTAGAGCAAAAATTTAGTTGCAGCTAAACGTCACAGATGGCGACGTTGGTTCGTCAAAATATAAACAGTCATGAATTCATGGGATTTCGACAGTTTTACATCAATCTTTTTATCATTACTTTACCGAAATGCCAAATAGAACCCTTCAGTTCGTATAATTTTCAACGTAGGCTGTAAAAGACTTCAACGTAAATATAAATGTCGGTAATGGGACGCGCCAGCTTATGTTACCACTTGAGTATTCAAAACGGCATTCCCCCCAAAAAGGGTATAAATGAATTTTACTTTAGCGACGTCGATTAAATTTTTTAGCGCCTTCCATATCCTCTGAAGAAGTACAGACTTTTAGGGTTTCGTTTTCGTACTATCCAAATAATGAGGTCTCGCTTATAACATCTACTCGATTACATTCAAGAGAATTCAATTTGGATCCAAGATCTAACAAGTTCAGTATTGGATTTCAACAAATAAACTTTTAAGATCAGTGAGTATAATTATTTGTTCACGCACTCAGAATTCCTACTAATTTCTTTAAAAATACCAGGGTACTTCTAGGCTCTTCTATTGCTGTTGTTCCACATATCAAGTACAATATTGAACGAGAATCCTATGTATAGCAGATTTGCTTATAATTATGCCCTTGTGCCAGAACCACGTTAAAATGTTTTTTGAACATATTAATCAGCACATAATGCTTAGAAAGTTTTTTATGTAACAATTCCACGACCTTTATGCTCTGCTTATATGTAGATAGCTTTATGATTGGCACATAAAAGAATCTGTAAATAAAATTCCCTAGTTCCTGACGTGACAACGGAAAAGATAATCGATTCAGATATACAAATCTCTTAAAGCCAATTTCGTAATAACTAGCAATACTTAATAATATAAACTAAACCACTAATATAATACTAGAATGGTTAGATAAATGCGCTTCAATGTTCAAAAAGTAAAAATAATACAACTGGTATTTACTTTACGACTTCTGCATTTCCTTAAATTGCGAACGTCTTTGGTCTAGTACATAAAACAGAAGTCAAAACGATAATGTAATAAAAATATAAGGAGAGTAGAACTTAGGTGACTTTTCTTGTTGGTACTTATTAATAATAAGGATTAGGAAAATGTGCTTATCTGTGCTAATGGCTGATTTAATCGATGTACTCTTGCTACTGAGTACTATACGTCGTTTTCAAATTGTACCATTATATTTTGTAATGCTGATTAATACAACATGAAAATATCCATGAAAATTAGAATCTGTATAGAACGACCCATCCTTTATTTTCCTCAGTCTTAATGGCCTGTGTAAAAACTAGTACTTGACTTCTAGGCATTAAATGATTATTTAAAAAAGAAATGTCATGTTAAAGAACTAAATTAGACAATGAGTAAAAATCAGAATATCAGATCTACAAAAGTTACCCGGGATTGTTGCAACGGTGATAGACCAACAAATTGTCAAACATTTTCTAAAGGAAAGAACACGAATACTTCACCTTGCACATTAAGGAATCATTTCAATGTATCTTTCTCCTGCTATAAAACAAGAATCTTTTCAATGCATGTTTCTACTGCTGGAAAACAAACAGCTAATGGACACCATGTGCCCCAAATTTGTTTGGCAGTGAACGTACCAACATGAAAAAACAAGGTTCATAAAATGCAATTATTAATATTACAACATACCGCGTCCACTGTTAGCACATATCTCTATTGCAATTGTACAATGATTTCACCGACACATTGAATAACAGGACTGTTTTACGTATAATTAATGTGCGTAAAAACTCGATTAAAAAAAAAGAAAAAAAAAAGAAAAAAAGAAATCGCCCGATCCGTGGTGGCACTATGCGCTAAACAATTCCAAAACCGTGTACGGCGATCATACACTCCTGCATGCTCCCTAGAGATTTCATTTAACAGTACTCGTTTATCATCAATGATCTTCATGGTTTGTCATTTACTCGCATGACACTTAAACTATTACGTTGAGAAAATAATTATTTTTTTTGTTTGTTTGTATATAGCAAGCAAAGTGTTCACAACTTGTGTCTCTTCTAAGTACATCATCCCTTGATCTGTTATCAATCAATTGGTTCTAGCAGAAATACCTAGTTTGCGCGGAAATTCTCGAGCTTCATTCGAGAAACGTCTGTCGATGAAACGCGATAATCGAGAGCAGAATATTATATTACAACCGCCGTATTTCAATTTATCGTAATGTATATATTAAATTAGTTATTGTATGGTGTCTAACGCTGAGCATATTGCGACGCCAAGAAAGCCCATCGGAACTCTCCGAGCACGTGACTGGGAAGCGTGAAGATCACCGTAGACTAATGGCGAGGACTTTTGGGAGGACTAACTAATGTCTTCGCGTTCCTTTTCAGCTTACTTTGGTTTTTAGCCACCCTCGGTTACCAGTCATTGAGTCTACTCAGTGAATCCTCTTCGATTTTCCTACGTCTCGTCGACGCTCGCGCGTTTCGCTCGACATTACTATGAGATTGTGCACAGGATGCTCCGCAAATCCGTTCACGTGATCAAACGAGGACTGTGCAGACCTTCGACTTGCGTGTCAATCTGAGGACAGTGTTGAGTATCCGGTGGGCCCCAATCGTGCAAATTCCCACTATTGGCCAATCTGTGCGTTAAGCGATGTGCTATGGAAAAACCTCCACTGCCTTCCAGTTGCGTTAATACAATGATGACTTGCCTAAATGAATAGTCAAAATTAGATTACCATATATGTGGCTACGGGGCACGCATAAATATATATTAAGTACAAGGGAAAAACTAATTCCCAAGAAACATCGATTATTTTGTATCAAATTTCTATATCTTGTAGCAAACAGATGAAATTCAAATGGCTTCACCACTGCTTGATATATCAATCACTTTAAGATGATATGAAAGAGTCAGCCTATCTGAGAAATCAAATTGGTGGTGAAAATATTCTCCGAATTGAGTCTATCGATTAGTTTCAAATTTTACCACGTGGAAACGGAGGCCCTAAATTTCCTAGCGCCTTTCATATCATTTTAAAATCTACTGAAATACAACACAATATTATTCAAGCTAGTATTAATATTTCGAGCATGAAGTTTATTGCATATTTATTATTGTAATAATTAGTAATCCGTCTTATATAAACATTGAATACTTTTGAAAATTGTACAAAGTTTTACAAGCGTAATATTCGATTTTAAATAGAGAATGCTTTTTAAGTTCATTTGTATTAACTGTTATATGACACCTTGCGTCATCTGTGATTTCCGTGTCAACTAAATTTTCACTCCGAGACCTCATATTACTATCGTTTTAGCATAGAAGCGCATAAGACACTTTTTTTATCTTTATCCCGATCAATTGCAAGTTTCCCGATTGCCAGAGTATTCTAAATTATCGTACAATTGTCCTGACATTTTTCGTTTCTCATATTAGAGCCTTCAATAATTGGATATCGATCGGAGTATAAGAGCCCGACGTTATTGTCGTTCTGGCCTGGACTAAGATAAAAAATCCAAATTTTGAAAATGTCAGGATAATTCCTAAGTGCTCACGAGTCATGTGTCAAAGTCTCAGACGATTCGATCGAATACCCTTGAAAAAAATGTTTTATTCGAATCGACTGATTTGAATGGGATTTCACTTCACTTTAATTATCGAAAAATAACATACTTTGTTTCCTTTGCATTGGGACATATATTAAATGTGAAATATGTATATTCATACCTATGGAGCGGAGGAACACTGTCAGCAGTTCTCAGCTGACCTCTTGTCGAGACAACGTTATAACTCTCGTGACAGTCACATTTAACGTGTATCCATTTGTTAACGTGTCTATTTTCAACCATTACAACCAGACCGGCCCACCCTTTAGTTAAATAATAAGCCGTCATTCCTTCTCTTCCCTGAAAAATCATACATATTAAAATTGAATGACATGTGTTAACCTCCTGGCAACTCCACATCCAAATTTTTGTCTTACTTCGTGCCGTTGACCTTTAGACAATGTCAAGCTGATTATCGCGTCCGCTAACACGAAAGCTGGAGGTGAAATCTGTTCGACCAAAAGTCTTTTTGAACTATGAATGGCCAGAACATATTCGGGATAACTTGAGGTGTCCTCCATTCCCGTATGCCAGTGATTGAAGGCCAAACACACCACGATATACAGATCTCTTTCCAGCATTTTGTGACATCCGACGAAACCTCGGACTTGTCTCTTACTGTGTTCTACTAAACGTCCAACTTCAGGAGCTGCTGGGGATCTCGTGCGAAAAACAACTACGCACAGATCTAATTGGGAACGCTGCGATCTTTCCGAATTTCTAAATACACAAATTGACATATACAGAGTAACCTCTTCATCGTAGTTCAGTGATATACACATGTATAACAATGCACTTTCATATTTTCACCTATACTGCCTTTCAAATTTGTATAGTAAACCTTTTCTATACCTCTACGGGTATCTCACATTTGATGAAATATTTTATTTACTTAATAGACACGACCTTTGGGACATTCGACTTATCCAAAATAAAAAAAAAATAATTTCCCACAATGTCCTCAGACGTACTCGAAAGGGAAAAAATTAAAGCTAATTATTTCATATACTTTTGGAACATTTTATGGAAGTATAGAAAATCCACAAGTTTTCTTTTCTTCCATACTTCCACTTCTTCTTCCGAGTGCCTTGATTTAATATTCTACTGTTACATGCTGGGAAAATTGACATGCGTTTACCTCTGTCCTTCCTGGAACAATGTAAATTCGGTCTCGGTAGGTTCCAATACTGTTAAGAGGACACAAGATAAATGCCTTAGCGATGACAAAGGCGGAAGAGTCCCACGCAGCCTAACTTCGCTCCAACCGACTCTGGTTTTGCAGATATCGATGCAATCAAAGTACTTGAGGACATCGTCGAATGATATCCAGAATACTCCGTCGGAAGCACCGTGAGGCATTAGCATCTCGCGAAGCTGAAGGGTCCATATAGGACTGTCGTCGGACCAATCACCTTTCCAACTATAGTGGCCCCACGGATTACGTAAACGTAGCAATCTTATCCCCTGTTAAAGGTTTTATATCAATAAACGATGCTTCTTGGCGCAGTTGTAGATGAGGAAAGTCCTGAGTAAACGTACCTGTACATCACGCACGTCGAGAACAGAATACGCATGCCTAGGAGGGAAAAAATATCAATTATAGGCATCACCAAAAATACAGTATATAAATAGGAAAGATTTTTATTAGAGTAAAGGTTGATGTCTCTTCATTTTAAATACCTCGGTCGAAGACCTTTGCGCTGGTATTCCTCTTCGTCGACTTTCATGTTACCACCGCCACAGCTTGCACCCATTAAAAACATAGCTTGCCGCGAAGACAAAAGCTGAGCCCAGATTAGATCCTTATCTAGTTCATCTTCGCTGGGAAGTGCAGAAGGTTGCAGTGGCACGCTCTCGCAAGGTGCACCCGTTAACGTCGCCAAACCTTCTATCGCTCTTCCGGACACCAAAGCTTCGTAGCAACCATGTATCTTGGCAACTGCTTTCTCGATCAGCGGCACCCACAGCTGCTTTCTTTTAGCCTAATCGAAATAAAAGCCATCGTTAAGCAGATGCATCGACGTTAAAAATGCTCGAAAGCACGGTAAATAATAAAAGACACGCATCGTACCTGAGAGTAGACCAGGTGACCTCTTTTATCGCAAGGCAGTAAATCATCGACAAGAACCGTGGTCCACTTGCCATCTTTACATAGTCTGACTTGGTACGCACCTTCGGGGCACGTCTCCCTCATGACTAAAACTCTCCTGACGAGTTCGTCGCTTTCGGCTAAGACCGCTAACGCTGACAACAACCAGCAATTACCCAAGACACCTTGGGAAATGTCCGAAGGTAAGGGTGTCCTAAAGACGGCCCAAGGCAGTTTAGAATCTACACTTGAATCAACGTTAATCTGGTGTGGTCTTCTCCATTGCACCACGTGGTTGTCTTTCGTGTCCGCCGGATTATAATACAGCGACTTCGGAGCCGGCGGAAAAGAATCGTCGACAAACGGTTCATTTGTCTGCAAGTATAATTTAACAATTGATATCATACAGCTCGAGGGATTCACCATGGAAGCAATAAAGAAGAAAGCGTATCGTGAGATTTTCTTTTCTTCCATTCTCTATTACACTGTCTTCGACTGATTTAAGAGGGGTTTCACTTCATCTTAAGTTCCAAAATATTGGCAATCTGAACTGAAACGACCGATGAGCTACACAGGACGGATACATTTAACAAGCAGTGAACAAATTACCTCTTTGCAGTAGCGCACAATTCTCTCCCACTTCTCCAGCGCTTCGCGCTCCTCGATTTGCCTTAAATTCTCCATGACGACGCTTTCCTGCCGTTGTATCCGAAGAGTGTTGGTACCAGGTTCGTTCAACCTCGGTCTGTCTCCCGGTGCTTGGGAAAGGGCCTTCGAGCTTTGGCACATCTCGCAATTCCCGTTCGTGCTCTTGTTCTCGTACGTGCACAACTTGCACTGCCACTGATGACACCAGCAGGTCAGAAACATTGGAACGATGACAAATTCCAGTTCTAGATAAAGGGATATACTTACTTGAGCGTGCGCAGCGTCCTTCGTCTTCGGGTGTCTTTTATCGCTCGCTGCAGAACCGTTTCTCCTGACGGAATTTCGGTGCCTGGGAGTGACCACCTTGGTGCTTACAGGGAGCGGGTAACACAGCCTCGGACTGGGACTTCTCTGTCCCGATATCCTGTTCTCCCTAGGTACCTCCAGAAAGTCTGCCACCGTCTTGCACGCATTGCAGTTCTGGGCGGTCAACGGGTTCCTCAAGGTACAAGATGTGCACACCCAACTCTCGCCCTTCCTAAGCGTGGGGTCTTCCAAGTGCATCACGCTTCTGAGCTTGGAACCACCGCACGCTTCGCAGGTTGTCCTGGTCGCCGCATTCAGCAGAGTGCACTTTTTACACGTCCACCCTGGAGAGGGTGGTTCCAATTGATCGTCCAGGTCGGACTCCATGGTCGCGAGGGTTGCCGATTTCGGGGGGATGCATCGCACGTTGTCCCTCGATACGACTATTGGGGAGTGTACGTGACTGCGGCACGCGGCACTGTCCTTCGTGACGGTGATCAAACTGGGTTGGGTCAGGGACGGCGGCGTCCTGGAGGAGCCACAGATGTCACAGGCCGTGGACCAAAGGGGGTTGTACGCGTACGAGCATTTTCGGCATGTCCACATGCGCTTCAACGGACTGACTGCTGAGGTCTCTGCGACCGGACTGGTCGCTTCGCTGTGCGCTTTCGTAGTTGTTAGTCCTAACTTGCTGCTCTGCTTCTTTGGTAAGGGTGGCGGGGTATCCGGCTCGGAAATCCCGATGTAGGAGTACTTAGGCTTCGGGTGGAACCCGATGGAGTGCGGCGGCACTGCAGGTGGGTCCTCGTCGTTCAGGCTCCTACGATTGGCAGCTTTCCTCTGCGCAACGCTCGCTATGGAATCTATGTCGGAGAACGATCTCCTATAAGACAGTGGACCCGCGGAGGACAGAGCTCTTGGTTCCCAGGCGGGCACACTGATGACAACCCCGCTACAGGGCGCAGGACTCCTCGGAGCTTCGCAGGCCTCGCATTGTTCCAATCCGGGTGCGTTGTCTAACGTACAGTTGTCACAGCTCCACAGGGAGTCATCCTGATGCGCCTCCGAGACCATCAGGCTAGTCGGTCTTTGCACGGCGTTTTCGGCCAGCTTCTGGACGACCGATCCATTCGACAGGGATCTACTTACTTTGGATTCGATACGTTCATAAGCGGAGGGGCTATGACGCTGAGGGTCTTCGGCATTTTCTACATAGGGAACCGTTCCAAGGTCCATGGTTTCTATAGATGGTAGAGTCCAGTCCTCGCGATTAGATCTCGCTCGCTCGCTGCGACTTATGCTCCTCAACTGAGCCATACCTATCGACGAAAGTAAAATCAATGTAACGTATTGTAAATTAAACTGTATACAAATTTATGCGAATAGTTAAGAAATTTCACTTAAATCACGATTGGAGCAACTAGTCCTAAGCTACGTTTTTGGACAATATTTATTTTTAAAGTAAGATTTTGATTCGACGATGAATACCTCGCATTTGCATTCCGTTGGTGCTAGTTGAAATGCGAACGGTGCTGCTACCAGCATCTAAAATGCGAGTAACCACATCGCAGGATACATTGGGTGCCACGTCTCGTCCAGATTCTTGTTTAACACCGTACAATTTACGAACGACATCTCCTCTGCTCTTCCTAGCTCCAACCTGTCTGGCCTCCACTATCGATGAATTTGCTCCACAAGCTGTACACGTGAGAGTTGAACCGGAACTATTCTTCAACAGGCAACGTATGCATACCCACTGTTTCACCAGAGAGGGTAACGATGACGTTCGTTTCAAGGGTCGTGTACTGGGAAAGGTTCCGCACCAGGAACCTGGACGAGACGTCTTATTCTGATTATTCGGTATGGATTCGTTTCCTCCGTTGCTGCAAATGATAATTTTAAATATTATTACAATATATGTGTATATTTTCTTTGTGAAATGAAAAGCATAACGTTAAATATTTATACACTGTGTATGAAATCTCTAACAATGAGATATAAGGGTTAATAACTGTCGGAACACTTAAAGGCATATATTATACATAACCTAGTCAAAGTATCACGCGTTAGATCCAGGTCTTGAGGAAAAACAATTTATAAAGAACAATGATACTGCTATATTAAATGAGAAAGGAACCAAAAAGCTAAATCATTTGCATAAACATATAAATGTAATCTAACCTAATTATTATTTAAGATATCTATAAAACAATACAACAGAGATTTGCCATTGCATGGATTACGAAGCTCCAAGATATTTCTACTCGTCCTCCAAGTCTTTGCTAGAAGGACAAGAAAGACAAACCTCAAAATTTGTATAAACTAATAATCCCATTTAGAGCTTCTTTCAAAGAACCATATATCAAAGAATTCATTTTAACATCAGACATATCGATCGATAAGAGGCCAAATAAGGAAAATCGTCCACGAACGTTTACAAACCGCTTAGACGATTCGAAGCCCTATGGAATGACTCGAGCCTCTGGTCTCGTTATCAAACATTGCCGAATAGAGTACAAATCAATACTACATCAGAGGACATCGAATCGTACAAACAATCTTTCGTAATCCGAGACACAAAACCTAATGTAAACCAAAAGTACGTTAAACTCCCATTAAGGAAAGAGTTTCTCCCGATGTTTGATCGAGTCGGCCCTGTCATTTTATTAAGAATAGGAGAAGAGATCGGTAGGTAGATCTTCCCCATAAATTCATTGGAGCCCTTTCCGATGGTTCCAGCTGTTCCAGCTGTTCCAGGGAAATACACATGTTTATGCACAGGTATCGAGGCCCTCGCCCTCACCTGAGGACGAGCAGGAGTCGGTGGTCCGGCGGAGATCCCGCAGCGAGAAGCCTCGGCGGAGGGGTCGGCGGGCCGGACCCCGAGGACGCGTCGTCCCTTCGATCGCCTCCCGGCGGGGAGCTCAGGGCGACGCGTCGGCCCGCCCTCTCATCGCTGGCGACGCGGGAGAGGCCGCACCTGGCGCAGCTCGCGCTCTCGGTCGCGTTGATCAGAGCGCACTCCGAGCAATGCCACTGCAGCACCGAAGCGATCGACCCCATCCTCCACGCGCGGTCATGGCTCTCCCCGAGTCCGTCCGACCGCGCCGGTCAGGGTGCCCAAGGGTGCCGATCCGCGACAAGGACCGCCGAGCTCGGCGCGCCCGGGCGGGCTCAGCGCCCCCGACGAGCGCCGATCCGCGACAGCCCGCCGTCCTTTGTCATATGTTTGCAGGCCGCCATCTTGGAGTTCCGACTTCCCGCACGACGACGACGACACGAACGGCGCCCGACGCGACCCTCTGCCTCGCGCCTCGACGGCCGCGCTCCGCCGCCTTAGCTCATCGTCCCGGACGGCGTCGACGGATGCCTGGCGAGTCGCCGCGACCTTCTTCACCCTTCGGAACCCTCTCCAAGCGCGCCTCGGACCGCCTTTCCGGCGGACCGCTGTCGACCGTTGTGTTGACTACGCGCGAGGGGCAACACAGGGCCGGCGGCCGCGGCGCTCGGCTCCGCAAAGGCGCCGCGAGGGGGCACCAAAACAGCCGAGAGCGCGGCTGCCCCCTTTTCCCAGTCCGAATCTCGCGCTACGTCGGGGGCACCTGGGTTTTTCAGCTTTCGGGACTCCTTCGGCCTAAAGATTTTCGATTCTGTGGTGGCTGAGATTATTTCAACGGGACTTATTGCTGGAAGTTATTGACGTAAGTATTGGTTAGTTATTGACGTTGAAGTAATTTGGAGTAGAGGGGAAATATTTATTGTTACTTTCTCCCAAGATCTTAACGTAATATAAATAGAAATAATGATCAATACATTTTCTTCGTGTATAGAACGATTTAGCGTTTTAATTTTGTACGTAATCTTTGAAAAATTATTTATTATAAGTTATGTACTGATTTGCAATTTATTTATTGACAATTATTATGTATTCCTGCATAATATATTATCCCTATCGTCGTCATTTGCTAAAAGATGTAATGGGGGAAGCATTACATCTTCATTTCCATCATCCGATTCGATTAGCTCCAAAATCGCATACTCTCCCGCTAAGTCGGCCATCTTGTATTTTCTTGAGCTTTCTGGCGTTCGGGACGTCGACGAAAGCGTATCTACCCTTCTGCACCTTTAAAAAAAATGTAGCACCCTCGTTACCCTCGAGGATAGAAAGTGCAGACAACGCGAACAAACCTATATTTGGAAATAGGGACGAATGTAAATGGGAGCTACCATGAATTGGTACGGTACTGGGAAACTTTACGAGTTATGTTTATCCTAGCGCCATCTCGACGAGGAAAGAAGAACGTACACTTGTAACATGGTTGAAGGAAGGGAGATCCAGCAAGTCCCTGTGGCGCAGAGGATAGCGCGTTGGACTTCTAATCCAAAGGTCGTGGGTTCGATCCCCACCAGGGATGACAAGGCGTAAGCTACCATTTTTTTATCAATTAAAATTATATTCGTAATAAGAAAATTTCATTACGTCTGAAAAGTCGACGAATAGGCTGTCTTAAAAGCGACTTACAATAAGAGTATAATGGAATAAAATGGCACAGTTGCACCAAATGAGTTTTAGTAACGCCAACAAAAGGTTAATAGATAAAATATTATAATATTCACCTATTTTCAGACTAGCAGTTCGTTAAATATATTTAGGAGATATATTTCTCTTTGTTTCGTAATTTGAAATATTTTCACCCTCTTACGGATTAAATTTAAAAAATCCCGTCTTAGTGAGCACTTATGCTACGAAAGGATTTATACCCTCCACATTTCATATTTCTATTATATTTAATAGATTTAGTTGTTTGAGCAGGATGATGATGAGTTAGTCAGGGACGTCTTTTATATATGTACATAGTTTACTATTAATTTCTTTCATATTATGAACATATTTTTTTAAGGTATTAAGGTGTTACTCTTGGATTCAGAAAGGTCTTTCCACCATGCCTATTCATAAATAATAAAACTCTGGATTAGTGGAGAATAATTTGTTCTACGATACACAGATCCATAAAGTCACGTATTAATACATAGTCATTAACCTTTAGATTTGTAACAACCTTTAGTATATCAGGTTTTTTAATTATAACGAACTTTATCAGATACTTAGAAGTAACTGTTTTTTTTACAACAATCAACTGTTCTTTAATACAACATGAAATGTTTCACAGTGGCGCAACAATTCTAGCGATCTTTTTGTGATTTTAGTTCTTTCTCTTCCTGGCTTCTTTCCGATTATTACAATTCATTGAATCGTAAATTTAAAAATAAGTGTACGTTTCAAGTACACATCCGTAATTTTTATAGATGCACTGTGAGATATTTGATGTTTCATCTGTTTCATTTGTTTTCTGCGGCTGTTTAATCGAATCTCATGGTTCAGCCAGTGTATTAAAGTATAATTATCCTGACATTTCACCGCGACCTTTATCCGAGCTCTTCCAATCCTCTTGTCTCGTAAGGTACGTTAACATACCGCTGCTGCAACAGGAATGATCATTTTTTCCTTTCACATGTCTTATTTCATCGATACAAGCAAGCATAACAAGATGTGTTGCTTTGCAATTGATAGCCAGCCATTCTTCCTTTCTCAATTAACTAGACTGATAGAATAGCTGTGCAAACGAGCTACCTTTTTAAATTCTTTCATCGCAACTCAGCTCTATTAATAATACATCGTTACAAGTTCTATTATGTATCTGTATTTAACATACGCAGGAATTATATATTTTCTGGAATTTTAATCGGTAATGAATTTTTTATAAACGGTACATAACAATATTTGAGGCTTAAATACTAGAAGGAACTTACCGAATGCTGCGAAACTATTGGGAAGTCAATTATTTATAAACAATCCATTATGTTTTTATTTTACAGTCATAGAATGAGGCGAAATAAAGTCGCAGAAATTCAGAACATATATCGAAATCTAATTTACAGTTCATTAGGAAATATTTCTCTCGTTAAATTGGCCATTATATACATGACCTAGGATATTTAACAATTTTCTGTACATTAAACTATATTTAATCAGAGATGCAACTCAAGGTCCAACTTTTTCTTTTAATTGGGTAGAAATGTCCGTGGGCAATAATATCTTGTATTTTTTAATTGTCTTCTGCCGACCTCGTTGCTTCGGAGAAACATTGCTCGAAGTAGTCTTGAACGTGTTCGTACAGCTTCACCCGGAAGTCGGGTATTTTATGACCTTGGTCGACATATTGCTGATGCTTATAAATAATACCCTCCTCGGCAAGTACTGCCAGCAGATTATTCGTGTGGTACCTCAACACTTCGTGGTCAGTCGTACCGGAGTAGATAATGAAGTCTTTATCCCTTAATCCAGGAATACGAATCGCTAAATTTGATCGTTCGTATACCAACTTATGTTCCTCGTCTAAAGTCGGGCTCCCGAAGATCTGTACAAAAATTAATGCACTTAATTAATAGTAATAAATTTGATCGTTCGTATAGCAACTTATGTTCCTCGTCTAAAGTCGGGCTCCCGAAGATCTGTACAAAAATTAATGCACTTAATTAATAGTAATAAATTTGATCGTTCGTATAGCAACTTATGTTCCTCGTCTAAAGTCGGGCTCCCGAAGATCTGTACAAAAATTAATGCACTTAACAACTGCACTTCACAATTGAGTCGTTTTTTTTAAGTGTTATAAGTCCACTTTTGAAAAAAAAATTAATTAATGGTAATTTTAGTAAGATATAGATATCCCCTTTTTATATTTATAATCATACATTTAATGAAGCATGATTTCTTGGTAAAGTAATCAAAAGAATTTTAGCTATAAAATGCTATCGCAAAAATATTTTCTTTGAAAGTGGAATAAGTCCATTTGGAGCTAAAAAATCGTTTATTTTCTTTAACAGTTTTAATTATTATTGCTGCGTAATAAAATTTAACAGATTTATAGTGTTAGGAACATCACCCGAATTGATTAACGTTTTCCAATATTTTTAAATTAATTAGTCATTATATAATTGAATATCCAGTAATAAGTACCTGAGTTCCGAAGGTATAAGAATAATGTTCCCACGTCGTAATGGGCGATATTGCGGCGCAACATTGAATTAAATTTTGCGTATCAGTAGCCATGACGTTGAGAGCAGTGTAACCACCATAACCTTCGCCAAACACTCCTGCTCCCTCTTTACTGAGACATTTTACATTATCCATAAAATACTTTACGATCTTGAGTTGATCTTCGACCTCCAAAATACCTAATTGACGCCAAATTTTACTTGACATTTCCAAACTTTGATATCCGCTGCCTCGAACGTCGGCCTAAAGAATACAGTACTACATTTAATAAATCCAACAAATAAAACTTTTAGTGTAAAATAAAACATGTGCATAGTCTGATATTACCACTAAAAATAAAACAGTACAGAAATTCCTAGAATTAATTGAGAGTCGCTATTTTAATACTCTGAAAAAACAATACTAACAAAGTTTCTAAAAGTACTAAAAGATTTTTTAAGGAGCATTCGCTTAATAATTTGTTTCAAAATCAACATACAAAAGCAATAAAGTCATATATTATTAGATTAATCGCAAATTTAGGGTGTATGTCATATATATAAAAAAGCAAAAAATCAAACCTGATTATTTCACTGCTGAGAGAATATTGAAATGAATAATATATAATCAATGAAAATAATAGAATTAGGTATTGGTGATCAGTTTGGAAGCATTTCTAATCCGCGCATACGCACTCTATCAAAGCATTGAAATCTTTTAATACGTGACAAGTATAAATTTGCTGAAGAAATACGAGCTGCCATACTTGAACTTAAATTTGTATTTGTACCTCGAGTACGACGAAGTGTTTTTCGACAGCCAAGTACCATGGCCAAGAGACCTGATATTTTGCTGTTACGAGTTGATCCTCCGGGGCACCATAAACGCGTAAAAGAATCCTGTATTTTCGTCGACACTTTTTGATGTTGGGATACCATTCTGGTGGGAAATGTGCAACCACTCTGGCCAAAAATCCCTCGTACAGTTCGACTTCGAATTCGTACTTCCGGGGCTTTTGTTTCAATTTATTCCATTCTCGAAGTTCGTTGTGCTCTTTCAAATCATGTAAGACAATGTTGGTTTCCGTTTCAACAATTACTGTCCATGGCACGTCTGGACCTCTTAAAAAAAAAAAAATTGTACGGTGTAAATAAATAAGCCCTAAATTTATTCAATCTTTTTATACCTACATACGCTTCGTGAAAAGTAAATGTTAATAAGTATAAGTAATAATGTTAAGGAAATTACAATATGTAACGTAATTTAACTATTAGATACACTGAGAGAAACATTTAATAAGGGAATATAGATGGTTATGCATATGTAATAATTTTTCGGTTACTGTAAATTCACCAATCACACATAGTATCAAATACATATTTGATAATAAAAAGTTCAATACAAATAACTTAAATGATTACCCTTTTTCTCTCAGCGTATGGATAATAACCATCTTTCATGTATGGAGTACGTAAAGTGTAACATTATACTCGTATGATATGATTTGAAAACCTGCAGTTGAGTATGTAATAATTAGCCAGAGAAGACATCTCCACGTGGGCATAAATACACTGTGGTTTATGACCAGGTTGACTTTTTTCTAAGCCTCCCTCTTCTTTTGATGACTCGTCTCCATTTGGACAAGTCAAACATTCGACAGACTCCAATTTGCCAGACCTGACTGGAGGATGATTAATTTTCGTGCTGTAAAAATATCTGTAAAAACAGAAACAAAGATTTATTCAATGGCGAATGTAAACTTTTACCATTTTAATTCCGATACAAATGAGATCTTATTGGACTAGATAATTAAAAAAATTAATAGCCTTCCAGAGAATGCCTTTTATATCTCATTACAAATATTTATAGTTTAATATGCAAATCTCTTTTACGTGAGAAAAATGTTAAATATCATAATTGTAAACATTTACGATAGTAAAATATGCTTACGTGCCGTTTGGATTTTTTAGTTAAATGCGAACTTCCGGTAGCTTTACATTTCTTATCATAGGTACACTTATCGCGAGAAGAAAAAGCCAAGTTACTTAACTTTCAATTATTTATATATTTGTTAAGTGGGGAAGAATAGAAGGCACGCGTACGTGAAAATTTCGTAAGTTACTGCAACTTGTAATAAGCAGAAATATTATTTACCGTCTGGAAACATTTTTTACAGGAGCGGCGATAAAATACGCGAATTTCTCGCCGTCTCTCTGATTTGTCCGAACGTTCAATATTTTAGTAACATAATATTCCGTAGATAGCAAAGGTATGTACGATTGTTTGTGACGGTTCTTGTGATCTAAAAAATATTCATCAGGCCAGTATTCTTTAGTTTCTTCGTTTCTGTCCGAAAATCCAGGACCAACCGATATTGCCATATTAAACGTAGTCATATTTATTGTTTCATTGCGATAAATAATCGGATGTAGAACCCATGGAGTTTGGTCTAATTGTATCGTCCCTGTACGAGTCATAATATTGCTATATTAAACCTAGTCACATTTATTCTTTCATTGCGATAGATAAATCGGATGTTGAACCCATGGAGTTTGGTCTAATTGTATCGCCCCTGTACACTGTTAAAAAAGATGCATAAAATTCATACACTTTTAGTACATAAGGTTGCAGTAAAATTATAAATTTGATATTCGAAAGTCATTTAGTACGCATTGTTTGCAAATTTTTTAGATACATTTTTTATTTTACGATCGTTTACGTAAGTTTATTTTTAAACAAATTTAATCGAAAGATGACAAGTATCGGTGGTACTGGCAAAGAAGCATTGTAGCGACATTCTTGAATCCGCGAAATATTGAAATAATATTAATTAATTAATAGAAATGAAATAATAATATATTATATGTTTTTTACACGTATGTACGAAATTTATAATATATGTTATACATTTTATTTGAAAGTATGTTATAAAATTATAATATTCTTATTAACAGTGTACGAGATGAACGATCGCGTATGAAGCACATGAAGAATTTGTATTTAGTCTCACCATAGGGAGGCGTGATAAAGAAGGCTTTTTCTTTTGACGGAAAGAAATATTTCTTCTCTGGACCTTGGAGGCTGTAGAAGACCGCATTAAACTCGGGATAATCGACTGTATAATCAACGGAGACGAGGTCATTGGGTGCGTTTCTGCAAAAAGACCGTCCAATATGTTCTACATGATGGCGTGATAACCCGGAAGGTCTCTGCGAATTGATTGTCTCGTTTCGGTGATGTCTGAGAAAGGAAAAAGACTTAACATTTTCAAGCGTGGTACAATCAGTACTTTTTTTTCTTCAGTTTATTAGTCACACTACGTACTCTTCTCGCTTTGCGCGAGGTCCCTCTTTTTCTTCGAAAGTGACATTCAATAAAGCCTTGTACAGGGGATCTATAGCTCTATAGTAAGGAAATCTTCTTCGCTTAGAATAAAGGAGGCAATTCGAAAACGCATTGTAAGAGATTTCATCGATCATTGTGTCTTCCGGAAGTGATCCTCCGGCATCGTTCAAGTACGCCTCGTAACTTGAGCACATTGCAGATGGAGTGTAAGCTTTCTTCGGAGTAACAGACACGAAAGTAAGAGTTAATTGGTGATATATTGATTGTCCTTCTCATCAATAATTGATCATTTATATTTATAATGTAATTGAAATTCGTAGTCAAACTGTAAGAGAGGATCGGTCGTATCAACCGTGATTGGTGTAAAATTTCTCAAGTGTGATAAGTTAATCTCCAATTAGTGCAATTCGAAGATGAGAATCCATTGTTTGATAACCACCCAGTTGGGTAATTAATACCGATTCACAAATGCTTTCTTTCTAAGGTGTAAAACTGCAAATTGTAGTGGAATATCGTAAGAATATGTTTTTAATAATACTGCTGCATGTTTTTTGCATATCTCGCATTGATGATTCGTAGGCCATCGAAAACATAAAAAAATCCCTGAAGTAGTTTGAATCTTTCCATGTATAGCAATAATACAATTTTCGATCATATCTGTGGTATCAACGGTCTTAAAAACTAGAGATATGCCCGTAAACGAAATTCTATAAGCCTATCTATTTCCAAATGGATAAAAGTATTATACAATTACACCGGTTCTATTCTAACAAATTTACTTGTAATTGAAAGAATTTTCACGTCTACACTTCGTAGCATTCTTGTCAAACACTGCCCTAAAGAAAATACATTTATATGACAGAAAAGAATTTCAGAAACCATGTTTATAAGGCTTTTTTATCCTGAGAATATTTGATTTTATGGTTTAATCACCTGTTTCAATTATTCTTGTCTGCCAATTTATTATATAGTAGGATGGAACATGCAGTTTACCTTCCACTCGGACCATGACCAATTCCAAATGAACTTGTAACCCGTTCGCGCCTTCACTTCACACGTGTCGATGTTTGGTGGTCCCAATAAACTACGAGATTTGTATCTGCATTCGTGATGTCTTGGCTCGCCCTTTGTCTCATAAGTGTATGTGTAATCATTTAGATTATGAGCCGACATGGCAAAGTATGAGACCAGTTCACTACCTCGCGGAGGTTCTCTCTCGACGTTCGAGCTGCATAGAAAGGAAATTGCTAAAACTGGTAATGCATATTAGATTCAAAGAAAAAGTGAATGTAAAGCGCAGGCGTTATAGTAATACACGGAATATTATCATAGTTTGCATTAGTAAAGATCAAGAAAAGCAGGACAAGTGCATAACGGTCCTGTTATCCCTCAGACATTAATGTGTTGTGCAACAAGGAAAGGTTTATGGTCAATGATTTACATTCTCTAATATTTCATTAATTCGACGAACATAAAGTCATGTCAATTTCTTAAATAAGCGTGTACTAGCCGTTAGAGAATTATTCAATTTTGTAAAGATATCATCTGATAGCTAAACAGCAAGTTATACTTTAAACTCTTACAAAAATGTCCAGGCAACCTATGAAGTGGAATATACGTAAATTAATCATCTAAATTAGGTCTATAGGTACAGCTTTTGTACTAAGAAATATAATATTTCATTTCAGGCGACTTGGTTATTTTTAACGATTTTTTCGTAGCTTACTTGAAAACCCGTAGGCTAACCCTGTATTGTGGATTTGCACGGTAACGTTGATGCTGATCCCATAATAGAGCTACATGTGATTTATTTGGAGCAATTCTGAACTCTTTGCCGTCAAATTGACGAACATGGTATTTTTGTAAGGCAGTAACAACATTGCCAACTTTGACATTCATTACGATTACATCGTCTGCTGCATTCGCGAAGAAGATGTCTTCATCGTCAGTATCTACCCATCCGATATTTCTGCAAAACGATTTTTGTTAACGTTTGTTTTTTAAAAGAAGAAAAAACAACATGTGACTGTATTTTGATGAAATATAATGGGCAATGTTTGGTGTCCGTGTCCGATGTTTATATTTTTTAAGTGTAAAAAGGGGAAATATGGAAGTCCAAGTAGGTACACACCATCGATATGTTCACTTTAATTAATAATTCGTAACAATTAGATAAGGGTACATTTAATGAGTGACTTACTGCTTAAGGGAACTCCTTTTTTACATTAATTCATTAAGCTGAGCGGCATAAACTAATATATTCTGCTTTAAAATGTCTTGAATTTAAGGGTATTCCGAGTTAAGGTGATGCCCAAATGCCCTCAACTTCAAAAATTTAGATTAACTACTGAAATTTGTTTGTTGGGTCATATGATAACGTACATCAATGTTGATAACCCTTCTCCCCCCTTGTAGTTAATTACAATTTTTTAAGCTGGGGCATTTGACCCAACCCGCCTTAAACTCGAGATAGCCTTTAAAAAAAAAAGAGCAATTTACAATTTGACGCTAATTTGCAGACGTACATACTTGAATTGTTGCTCAAAGTAATTCTCGTAAGTGATGACATCTTGAAGAGTAAGATGTCTTGTTTGCATTCGTCTTTCTTTCTCCAGATCTTGATCTAATATTTCGTTATTTTCATCTTGGTGCTCCTCGAGCTCAAATGTTGGCGAATGAGATTGTACGATTAAATAAATACTTGCACTTATTGATGCCACTACAATGATCTAAAATATGAATAAAGCGAAAATGCCGAAACTCAATATATTTAATTGTGCGAAATATGTTATCATCTAAAAACATAATTGAAGTAATTCAAAATATCTCCTATAATCCATAACACAATAAAATATATGTTCGCTTCTCGGTCATTTAAAGAATCATTTTGAACGTTTGAAAGCACAAAAATGTAAAAAAGAAAGCGACTAATTGTTTACTTCCTACTCATGGATTTAAATGTCCTCGTTAAACATTTGTAGGAAATAAACATACTGCATAAAATATGACAAAGTTTAGAAATATTATAAACTAAATCGTCTGTAGTTAAATTGCACACTGTCTTCTGTACTCCTGGTTTATATACATTTACGTGTAAGTGTTCTATTAAAAATGTTCTTTCTAATATTTCCAACATAGGTAAGTTAGTCACGGTAACAAGTTCTTAAACCGTGGCAAATATCCAGCTATAAAGCAGGAAATAACTTTTCGTTCATTTCAACTTTCAGCTTTACGAATTCAGCAGGGTGCCAAGTGAAACAGCAAGACGAGGCACCTAGAGAGAAGTTTTATTAAACTGCTAGAAATGGCTGAAGTTTCGAACCAGTCGGCGTCTGGTAACAACCAGAACTCCCGAACATAAACTCATTGAAGTTTCCGACTTTTCGAGAGCAATCTCGCTAATTAAATTACACAGTCCATTACGAGAAACGCACCGCATAGATTACTCGTACGGCAAGACGTGGTACTCTTCTCACATTAACATGCGTAATGCTATTCATGACTCTGGATATGGAAATGCGGTCGCCATGTCTTTCCTCAGTCCCTCCTATTGTCCATGATTCATATTCATGATACAACGAAGATTTTTCTACGTAGAAGATGGATTCCACCCAGCAGAGTTGGCCATGTTCTACAAAATGCCAGGAGACGTACACTGTTAAAAAGATTCAGAAAATTCATACACTTTTGGTACATAAGGTTGCAGTAAAATTATACATTTTATGTCTTAATAGTTAATAAGTACAGATTTATTGTATAAATCTAAGTAAATTTACAATTTTATTTAAAGTAACTCTGTGAAATTGCGGGGAAAAATTATAAACTTGATATTCGAATGTCATTTAGTACGCATTGTTTGCAAATTTTTTAGATGAGTTTTTAACTTTATGATCGTTTATGTAAGTTTATTTTTAAAGAAACTCAATCGAAAGATGATGATTTTACGAAAAAGGCGAGTTTACGTTTCCTAATAAAACTGAACAATTATCGCACTAATTAGTTGCTCTGCCCCTGTATATATTTGGATAAATTATTTTGAATCAAATAAGGTAAAATAAAAAATGTAGTTTAAAAGACAGGGTTGATTAAAATAACCTTTAAATTATGCTTAGCTTTCAACGAGTCTCACTTCTTTTCCTTCTGTAATTAATAATATAAAAAAATAGACGCTTTTAATAATATAAAGTAATATGTACTAAAAATACGATTTCAAGGCATTACCAGATTCCAATTATACATTAGAAATTAGATTCACGTCATGAGATCGATCAACGTTGAATTTTTATTTTACAATTTGGTTATATGTGGTTTTGTAACTTTACCATTCCCATGGTTTCCTTTTCGCTGGTTTTATAATCATCCCCCGTCTACTTTTTACAGAAAACGAGATTCTTTCTGTCCGTTGAAAAGAGAATATTCTAAAATCATTGAAAGTTAGTTGTTTCGTCGTGAAATTAGCAATTATCATGTTTCAAGTCGATTCTACTGTCTGTGAACCTCCAGTTTCACTTCTTTTGCATTTCTTTTCAATTTATCCTACGACCTCCTCCAACATAGTTCGTGAAAAAAATAAGAAATTTCCTCATGCAAACAAAAAGCTTTACAAATTATAATTATTATATATATATAATTATTTGTCGCATTGCGAAAGTAAGAACATACGTCAAATTCGTTTGACTGCAAAGAAACCGTTTAAAAAATCAAGTACTGATCAACATAAATTTCTAACATATATTATAAATTTATAATACACGTTATACATTTTATTTGAAAGCATATTATAAAATTAGTACACCATGTCTGAATGAAACACCCAAGAGAAATGTTATAAAATTATAATACTTTTTTTTAACAGTGTATGCTATAACCTAGAGATGACTTTTCGAAAAATTCGTCACCTTTTAGATTTTATTCTGCTCTCTGGGTTCGGTAGATCGAAGCGAACGAGTTTGGTCACGTGAACTAAAATTCGGTTCATTGAACCAGAACGTTTCCCGAAATGTACCAAATGCAGTTGATCAAACGATTTTATTCAGTGAACCAAAGTTTCGTTTCAGCGTGTTCATAGGAAGGATGCGAGATCCTTTCTGCAAAACGGGAGTTCGGAAAATTGTTGGGAATTCATTATCACGCCGTAAATCTGAGTGAAAAACGCCGCGGGTTTTATGTTTCTCGGAGGGTTAAAGACTGTCGATATTTATCGCCTTGGGAGAGGTTTCCTCCGCTTTGGACACAGGCCAGCCCGCCACTCGTTCCGCAGACCTCGCAGACTGCTTGGCGACTGCGTATGCTCGCGGCCGGCGATGATGCAATCGCAGCCGACACAAGAACTTCCATAAATATGCGCGCTATCCATAATTATACCGACGCTCGATCAGCAGACAGAATTCTTGCTCCTTCACCGATGATCGTCATCGCTCTTGGATCTGACAGCGAGATCGAAGCTGCGTTGGAGTGCGCGGTTAAAAAACATTCATACACTTTTAGTACATAAGGTTGCGATGAAATTATGAATTTGATGTCTTAACAGTGAGTTAGTATACATTCGGTATTAAATTCTAAGTAAATATATAATTTTATACTCACTCACTCATTTTATATTCATCGATGACCGTCATCGCTCTTGGATGTGACAGCGAAATCGAAGCTGCTTTGGAGTGCGCGGTTAAAAAACATTCATACACTTTTAGTACATAAGGTTGCGATGAAATTATGAATTTGATGTCTTAACAGTGAGTTAGTATACATTCGTTATTAAATTCTAAGTAAATATATAATTTTATACTCACTCACTCATTTTATATTCATCGATGACCGTCATCGCTCTTGGATGTGACGGCGAAATCGAAGCTGCGTTGGAGTGCGCGGTTAAAAAACATTCATACACTTTTAGTACATAAGGGTGCGATGAAATTATGAATTTGATGTCTTAACAGTGAATTAGCATACATTCGTTATAAAATTCTAAGTAAATGTATAATTTTATATTCACCGATGACCGTCATCGCTCTTGGATGTGACGGCGAAATCGAAGCTGCGTTGGAGTGCGCGGTTAAAAAACATTCATACACTTTTAGTACATAAGGTTGCGATGAAATTATGAATTTAATGTCTTAACAGTGAATTAGTGTACGTTCGTTATGAAATTGAAAATTCATTCGAATTATATACATTAGTTATAAAATTCTAAGTAAATGTATAATTTTATAACATCGCGTTGTAATTTTGTGAAATTGTATATAGAATAAATTTTATATTTTAAATTATAAATTTTGATAAAATTTTATTATAAGAAAATTAGAAATTGTGTAGAGAAATTATAAATTTGATATTTTAAAATTATAAATTCTGATAAAATTTTATTATAAAAAAATTAGAAATTGTGTAGAGAAATTATAAATTTGCTATTTTAAAATTATAAATTTGGTATTTTAAAATTATAAATTTTGATAAAATTTTGATAAAATTGATAGTCATTCGGGTTCGATACCTCAATAATTACAAAAAGATTTTTACCGGCATTTAAGATAGGGCTGTCTCTAAAATCGTCCTCGAATGTGCCCGGGACATATGACAAATTTATTTGTCTGCAGTGCTCTAACATATGTTATAAATTTATTACACGTATGTACTACATTTATAATATGTGTTATTCGTTTTATTTGCAAACGTGTTATGAAATTAGTATACCTTTACTGAATAAAACTTCCAACAAAAATGTTATAGAATTATAATATGTTTTTTTATGTAGAATTATAATATGTTTGTGGGCCTTGGATGTCAAGCCTCGAACTTGAGAACGATGCGAAACGAAACGAGGCTGCGTTTGCGTAGAAGCGAAACAGGAAATAATTGCTGGTGATAATTTATCATTGTTACTAATTTGTCGTAAGCGAGTACGCGAGAGGATCGTTTACGCAATCTCTGGTTAACTGGTGTTAGATGACGAGCGACGACGTCATCTGCCACGTGAGGACGAGCTTGACGACTGGATGCGTTTCGTAATTGCGATGCTTTATTGTTTTCAGGTTTAGCGGAAAATATTGCGCTGGGTTTTTGAATGACGAAAACGTTTTTTGGGAATTCATGACGCAGGGCGCTAATTTCAAATCGGCCAATATTGGCACCCTGAAAGCTTTTCGTGTGTCAGTCTGTCCTTACTTGTATTCGTACTATTTTAATTATTATTACACGTGCTTGAGTTTTGGAAAATATCTGTAACCCGATCAGTTAACATTTTCATGTTAGTGTTCTGCACTATTAAAAAAAAAAATGATAATTTTATAATATTTTTGTTGGAAGTTTCATTCGATCAAAGTATACTAATTTCATAACGTGTTTGCAATTAAAATGTATAACATGTATTACAAGTTTAGTACATATGTGTAATAAATTTAAGTTGATCAGTTGCAATTATTGGGGTATCGAACCTCGAAATTTATTTAAAAATAAACTTATGAAAACGATCATGAAATTAAAAACTCATCTAAGAAATTTCCGAGCAATGCTTACTAAATCACCTTCGAATATCAAATTTATAATTTCTCTCCGCAATTTCACAAAATTACAACACGGTGTTATAAAATTGTAAATTTACTTAGAATTTTATAATAAATGTATGCTAACTCCCTGTTAAGACATCAAATTTATAATTTTACTGCAACCTTAAAAAGTGTATGAATTTTTTTAACAGTGTAAATAGAACATATAAAAGAATCATTTATGCACGTGTCCGGATGTTGGAGTTAGGTGACAAGTGATGACGCCGTCTCCTGCCAAACGGATGCAAAGGTGACAGTCGAGTGATGATGATCGATATTGCGCAATGTAACATGTATATACAATTTCAGGCACTTTTCCGGATAACAATTTGAAGCATTGCAAATATTATGTGTACGTGCCCGAGAGCACGCGCGTGCTTGGGTTTTGGCAGCCATTAGCTAATGTTAGTAAGCGCAGTTGGTTCAAATTGACGTAATAATTAACCATTACTTCGGCCGGACGAAAATACCTCGCTAAAGTATCGGTAGTATTGCGAGAGTACCAATAGCACAGTAGAGCTAATTGCGCAATAATTAAAGATGAGTCATGACACCGAGCTCGTGCCGAAATTCCTGATTGGGTTTGAGTAAGACTAGTAATAACTGATCAACACTGTCCTATTAACGTTAAGATGACAAAAAGTTGCTTAAGTAGTTAACATTTCACGGCTCTTTGTGAGTCTTCGGTATCAGCTGTTCACCTTAGGTCAGTATTTAGTTAGATTAGATTTTAGAGGAATAAATATATTAAGGCTTTGTCTCACAACTCCAGTTAACCGGAGTTTAAGTTAGTAAACCAGATTTACATCTGATACATCCCTAGTTTAAATCTTAATTACTTAATTGCATGAATATATTGCTTAACCTGAAAGTACGAATTGCTTCAAATGCAAACGATGTATTTCTCTAAATGAAAGGAAAAACTTTAATAATATCCGCAACGTTAAATGAAGTCACTACATTTAGAATAACGTTTAC